CTAAAATTGTCACTTTGGAAAATCAGAGATCAGCATTCTTCCGGCCACTGAACTGCAGTTAGTGTCAGTCATGTGCACTGTCCTTGTCAGGGCCAAGTGTCTTATGCTCATTGGTTCAGATTTCCTCATCACCTAGTCGGGCGTGTACCCATGTGCCATCTTGAGAGAGAGTCAGGCTCACAGAGAGCAAGTGCCTTGGCCAAGACCATCAGCTAGGGGGCGGAACTGGGACTTGAACCCAGAGTCTGTGCCTGTAAGGCACTGAGGTGCTGGAGCCCTTGTGGGTTGTGTCCTGGCCACTTGTCAGTCCCAGGTGACTGTGGTCAGTCCCTACCCGGCTTGACTCACACGCAGCTCAGTGGAAGTGCTGAGGGTAGCGTTTTGGTCGGCTCCCAAGGCCAGGGCAACACTGTGGAGATTTTCATTAAGACCTTAGGTCCCTGAGACCTAGCTGCCCATTTTAGCCCAGGGAGGGTCAGCCAGGGCAGGGGTGTCCAGTAGGTGGGAGGGAGCGGTGCCAGCCTTGACTACGTGGGAGCAGGTAGGGAGGTGGAGAGCCAGACTAGATCTGACACTCACAGATTATAACCTTGGGAAAGTCACTTTGCTTTTCTGAGCCTGAATGTCCTCATCTGTCAAATGGGGACAGTTAAGCTCGCTTTGCATCCCCCTGGGCCTGGGTAAGGACATAGAAAAGTGAAGCTAGGGCCTCATAAAGGCACCGTATGGCAGTGTGAAAGGCCACTGGGGATGGGGGACTCTGGGCCTGGGGGAAGAAAGAGTCCAAGCCGACTCCCGTTGGCCTGGGATGTAGCTCCCTGGTAGACTGCTCACCTGGCATGCATGAAGCCCTAGCTAGGTCTGGTCCTCAGCATCACAAAAACAAAACAAGAGTCCCACTTCTAACTCGGTACGGTGACAGAGCCCTGTGATGCCAGTGCTTGGGAAGCTTCAGGAAGAGAGTTGTCTCAAGTTTGAGGTCAGCCTGGGCTGCGTGGTGGAACCCCTTCACTCAGATAAACAACTCTAATTCCTCCTTCTGAAATTCCTCTTCTCTTTTCTTCCAGGCTGTGTCTCTGAGCCTCAGGACCACAAGGGCTGAGAAGCCTGTGCTGAGTTCTCAGTGGGCACACCCAGGGAGCTCTGGGAATTCTGGGTGCAGAATTAGGAGGATTGGCTGGTGAGGGGCCTCTCTGGGTCACCCTTGAGCTCCTCCGAAGGGTGTATCCAGCTGCATCAAGACTCACCACCCCTTACTCAACTGACTTGCTTTAAGACTGGGCTCCTCAACATCCCCACACCCCCACACAGAAAGAGCAGGGAGAGA